CCTCCCTTTCTTCCTTCCTTCCTTCCTTCCTTCCTTCCTTCCTCCCTTCCTCCCTCCCTCCCTCCCTTCCTTCCTTCCTTCCTTCCTTCCTTCCTTCCTTCCTTCCTTCCTTCCTTCCTTCCTTCCTTCCTTCCTTCCTTCCTTCCTTCCTTCCTTCCTTCCTTCCTTCCTTCCTTCCTTCCTTCCCTCCCTCCCTCCCTCACAAGGGTTTCAGCCCACAGCAGAAATGGGTTCCCTCACTCATGCAAGGTAGGCAGCAAATTGCTTTCAGATTTAACCTTTCAAAGTAGAGAAGCCAAGAAGCCTCATTGAAGCATGTCACATGGTATCCTTAAGTCATACACATAACCTGCATCTAAACCACCAGGCCGTTCAACTTGCTGCTGCGACAGCCCTAACAATTAAAAGGTTGAGTCACAAGAACGTGCTTACAGGGGCTGCTCGTTGCTGCAGGCAGGGTTGCTGGGTGATTGTGGGCTCAGGATCTGGAGCTGCACTGCCTGGGGTTGGATCCTGGCTTGGCCTCGTACTGAGCAAGTTAGTTCACCTCTGTGTTCCTCAGTATCCTCTGTGAAGTGTGGCCGCTGACAGTACCTGCGCCGGAGGCTGTGAGGATAAACGTGTGAACGTGCGCCGCGGAGCGGCGCTCGGCGTTCACCCGGTCGTCACTGTCCGGTCCGGTCTCGTTCTGCACGCAGCCGCCCGGCGAGCAGCCTGAGCCCGCAAGCTCACTCGGCTTGTTGAGGGCAGATCCTGGACTAAGACCTCTGATCTGCTGTGTGACAGCTTTCAAGGTTCCTGGCCTGAGGGCGCTTTATATTCTTAAAAAGTATCAATGATATCAAAGAGCTTTTATGCTTCCCTATCTATTGATATGTTATACATTGGAAATTGAAACAAAAAACGTAAGCTATTACTACTGTTAACATAAATGCCATTTTTAATGAAAAATAATTATTTTACAAAAGAAAAAACTCAGCAGAATGGCATTGTCTTACATTTTTACAAATCTCTTTACGCTGTGACTTAAGAAATGACAGCTGGAGTCCCAGGTCTGCTTCTGCATTCTCTCTGTTGCAAGGTGTTGTTTTAGTTGAATTATATGAAGAAAGCCCAGCCTTGTCCTTCCAGACCCGATTCTTGGCCATTTAGCAACTAAGAAAACGGTGGCACAGAGAAGTTCTGATCCTAGTGCCGTCACCGCAGACGCGCTCTGGGAACTGAATGAGATAACATCAAGGACAAGTGAAAAGTCCTAGAAGAGCCCCTGGCACCAGTTAGGCCGTCGCAAGTATGAGGCCGTGTTGTGGTGGCTGTGGGAAAAGGCCTAGGAAGGCTAGACAAGGCAGGGCGTGGGGCCGAGGACCCCAGCCGCTGCCGGTGGGCGCTGCTGCGGTGTCCCGCCTTGAACCCAGCAGGTGGGCTGGGGAGGAACCGCGGAGGACCTGGCAGAGGGGGCTGCTCTCCTTGAATTCTTCTCAGTGTCGCGTTCCTCAGAGTTGCAAATTCCGAGCCACTGTTCCTCCTCAGCAGATTGCACTAATACTCCTGTGAGATAAATCCACATCTATTCAGCAGTGATACATGAAGTACAGTTGGTAATTCTTACAATGTGGGGACTGAATTGTAGAAAGGCAAAAGAAAAGATAAAACTATGTGCTGTTTGGATTAAGTGCAGATCCACTGAAAGCAACTGCAAAAGCCAAAGTTGGGGGGGGGTGTCTCTAAATACTTCTTGCAAAACCCTTATATAATTAGCTTCTTTTTCCAGCCTCCTCCACTCCTTTTAAAGGAAGGTGATTTTACTTCTAAGTCCGGTCATGCAGTGCCATTCTGAATCACCATCTCTAGTTTGGCAGAGACCCAGGGACAGTCCAGTCAGGTCACTTGGTCCAGAACCCTGCTTTCAGGTGGGTGAGTGACAATTCGGAACCATCCCAGAGGGTCACCAGAACTGGGTTTTTTGGTTTTTTGGGTTTTTTTTTAATCTGCGCCTCAGGACATTTTTTCATGGCTTTTAGAGGGAGAGGACGGGAGAAAGTGAAGTATACATTTGCTGCCTCCCGTATGTGCTTGGACTGGGCCCAGGGATCAAACCCACAGTCCAGGTATGTGCCCTGACTGGGAATCTAACTCGTAACCTTTCTGTTTTGGGGGGCAACGCTCCAACCAAGTGAGCCTCCTAGCCAGGGAAACAGCAGTGGGTTTGAAATGTCCTCAGGATTCTCCAGCCTGTCCTGGAGGCCAGTCTGTGTGATCAGAACAATAAGAAACAGTTTTTCCTGAGACTAACCCATTTACCTTTGTAAGTTATAGGCCTTTTCTCTCCCAATCTTATCTGAGGAGATGAGCATTCAGATAGTCGGGAGATGAATGGCAGTGTCTAGTTAAGTATGTTTTTCCTGGGCCTGCTGGAAAGACTGCTTTGGCAGACAGTGCATAAAGATCTTTAACTCAGAATGAAGAAGAACAACCTCTCTTTAATGGAGGACCTTTCAGTGGTGGAGTTCCTGTATTTTTCCTTTCGGCAACCTGTCACAATCTCAGCTCTCCTCTTCCCGCCTCCTTAAGGGGACTGAACTGAGCAGGTGGAGCCTCCTCCGTGGCCCCATTCCTTCCAAACTCTTAGCCAAAACGTGCTGGATCTTGCACATGGCGCGGAGTGGGGGATTCGGATGAAAGGCCTTCCAGTGGGAATCCTGTCACTTCCTGGTCTGCTGGAGTTATCGGGGCCGCCCCGCTGAGTCTGTGTGTCTAATGTTCGGCCCTGTCAACATGGCTTGGCTGCAGTCCTTGGGTTAAGCCCCAATCCTGGAACGGACGGTGTGTGCTCAGCACTTCCCCGCCCCCGACACACAGGAAGACCGTCTCGCCCGACCAGGGGGACCCTCAGGGGCTCTGAGAGAGTGTGCTCAGAGAAGTGAACCTGCAAGGCAAGGGAAATGGGGGTTGCGTTCCTGGGCCTGTTGGTTTGCATCTCAAAATGGATGTAAATGACAACTGTGGCCATGCTGTAGAAGTTTTTCATTTTTGGTCCTAGCCACGAGCACAGAATCTCACCAGAAAGTCCAAACATTAAAGATGTTCTTCCCCAGAAAAGACCTGTCTCTCTGACTCCTAAATGTTGTGAATGTTACCCTATTTGGTTATTTAAACTACTTTTAATTGAGCTGCTTTATAATTGTGAGCAATTACACTGTTGGAGCAAGAGACAGTGGCTAATAGATAAGCTCCCCCAATATAATTTGTGTCAGGAAGGAGGTGATAGTCTTAAAAAGTAACAACAAACTCATCTCTCTTTTTTTCTATTCAACTTTGTTCTATATTTCTATTCTTTTTTTACCCACTATGTTCTTATCTGCTTTTATAATCCCTTTCCATGCTCTGATTTTTCTGAATAATTTATATTCTGCTTATTTATACAAAATATGTAAGGTTCCTTATACTCATGAATCAGATTGAAGAGGAAAAGACTAGAGAAGAGAGCATTATATAGCAGGAATCTGAGATATTTACCACAGCTAAGCACTAAATTTGGTAAGAAGCCTTCTAGAGGCAAAAAACAAGAAGCAGTGTCTGTCAGGTTATAGACTTCTTTTTATAATCCTTTTTTTCCATTCTTCATAATTTTCATTTTCTTTTACATTTGCTTATCTTAAGAGCAGTGGGTTTTTTCTTAGCGTCCGTCATATTTCCTTGCCGGGCACTTCCCATAGGCTTCTCAGGGATGAGGCTCTGCCCACCCCCTTCCTGTCCTGCCCACCCCACAGCCACCCTGAACTCAGCACAGCATGCATAGGCAAGAAGAGAGTTCGAGGGCTTCCCGCTGGTGTGAGGAAGTAGAGCCTTTCAGTTTCTTCTTGAAAGCCGAGTTCACTGGACTTGATCTAAGGGGCTGGCCTCTGCGTCAGGACTGGTCCAGGCTCTCATCCTGGAGACTTGATGAGCACCTGGTGGGAAGTGGAGTGAAATCAAGGCGGGGGCGCGCTCCCCTGGGCAACTTCATGACCTCGTGCAGGCAAAACCTGCCTGTCAGGATGGGGAGCCTCTTTCTTGGAGAGAGAGCCTGTGTTAGGGGCTGGGTCTGACCTGCTTTGGTCTCCCAAGTGCTGGCAATTGAGACATGGTCTTCCAGTTCCCCCTAGGAATGAGAAAATGCATCCCGTTTCTCTGAATATCTACAGTTTCAATAGATAGTGACTTTTTGTTTCATCCTCACCTGAGGATGTGTTTATTGATTTTAGAGAGAGAGGAAGGGGAGACAGAAAGGGAGGGAGAGAGGGAGAGAACAAGACAGACGTCAATGTGAGAGAGAAACATTGATCGGCTGTCTCCCATTACCACTGAACCCACAGCTTTTTAGTGTATGGGATGATGCTCCACCCAACTGAGCCACCCAACCAGGGCAATAGATAGTGACTTTTGGAAGAGACTATAGTTAGGGCTAAACACTTAAAGTGAAAGCGGTAAGTAGGAGGCTGTACTGTCCAATCCACTGGCCACATGTCATTACTGAGAAATTTGGTCAAGACAAAACTGAGATGTGCTGAAAGGGTAAAATACACACCAGATGGCAGACACTGGAAAAAGGACTGCGAACTATCGCAGTAGTAATATTATAATGTAAAACATCTCAACATGTAATGCTGATCACGTATTGAAATGAAATACAGGGTAGGGCAAAAGTAGGTGTACAGTTGGGAGTATGTGAAATAGTTTATTCTTGTATTATTGTTCATTAATTATGTATTATTTTCCACATGAAGAACTGTAAGCCTACTTTTGCCTTACCCTGTCCATTCTTAAAATTAATTTTGCCTGGTTTTTTTTTTTTTTACTTTTTAAGATAGCCACTTAAAAATTTAAAATTATGTGGCTCGCATGGTATTTCTATTGCATATCTCTGGTCTAAATGTCTAGAATTAAAAAAAGAAATTGTGAGGAGTGAATTTCCACTGTTTCCTAACACCTGTATTCTCTCTTTGGTTCTCTTTCAACAGATATGACTCTCCACGTAGCATGTCAAGGACTAAGTTAATCGCCAGTTCCTTTTTTTCTCCTACACAATTTCCACTTTCTTTTACACTCGCTTACCCAGCCATCTGCAGTACGCCACTTTCAGGTATTTGAGCTATGTAGAATTTCTGTGTGTACAGATGTGTGCTCGGACTTCTCTCTTCCTGAGAAATCTGAAGGGGAGGATCATAGAAGACCCACTTGCTCCCGGGAACCACCTCTGCGGCCGGGGCCTCGGGGCCTCGGGCGGCCTCCAGGCCGTCCTGGAGCCTCCTTTCTCACACGCCCTCCTGTGCCGTTCCCAGGGGGGAACAACCAAGTGCCGCGGGGGCAGACGATGACACTCTGCCACAACTGTCTGGTTTCCTGTAAAATAAACACTTTATATTTTTAGGGAACAAAAAAAGTGCTGCTACGGGGTTCAAAATTTTCATTCTGAACACTTTTCCAAAACAACTCCAAGGAAGCATTTTGAATACCCTGGTCACATCTTCGGATCTGTAAAATACACCTTTTAGTATGGCACCCGTTAAAATGCAAAGCAAACTTCTTCAAGGCAGAAAAACAATCTGACAGTAGCAATGTAGAATTCGTTCATTCAAACACATCTATGTGAATGCGAAAGGTCATAAAATTCATCTCTGAGCTGCTTGCTATTGAACCTGCAGCAACTAGTCTCAGCCAGCCCAGTATGAACATCGCTCCTTCAGAAGTGCTAGAAAGGCTGCAAAGTTGGATGAGTGGAAATGGGGTTGCTCCCGTCCTCCCTGATCCTGTTGGAGCTGGCACCTGGATGGCCTCTTTCTCAAGGGAACCATCTTACTCCTTGAGGGGGTATTGCTGCCCAAATCCAGGCTCATTCCTGCAGGTGAAAGAGGAAGCCCTGGGGAGAAAGTAATGGACAAATTTTTGTGCCATGAATAAGTTGCAGTGAGTAAGTTGTTATTTTAACTCAGCATTCTGAGTTCTCTCTTTGGCATCAGATAGAGAGGTTTCATCATTTCAGGCAGAATTAGATGAAATCAGTATGGATTATTTTTCTTTTATATTTAACTGTTGCTGTATTCAAATACACAAATATAAAGCTGTATCAACCCTTCCTGTTGTGCATATTAAAATAATGGAGTTCCAAGGAGTAAAGTTTTCAGGGAAACTGACAAGGATTCAGTTCAGTTGGCCTTCTGTGCTGCTACTGTTGTGACAAATTTGAGGGTAAGTCAATGACAACCAAACCAAACTCGGTGAAAGTGCCCATCCTCCTGTGGTGCCCGCCCGAGACGCGTGTGCTGGCACTGCCCCTGCCGCTGTCCCCGCTGGAAAGGAGCGTGTGTGGGGGAGACACTGGGCCTCTGCGGCGGTGTGGGTGGAAGATAGTCGTGCGTGCGTGTGTGTGTGTGTGTGTGTATGTGTGAGAGAGAGTGTGTGAGAGAGAGAGAGAGAGAGAACAAAGTACTAAGGATTGAATTGACTCCAAACTCTTCTTATATAAAATTCCCTAACAAAGCAGAGCTACTTTATTTATCTGTTACATGTTGCACTTTGTTTATGTGTGTTTTGTTTTGGGGGAAGTAAGGAGAGAAAAGGATAACCCCCACTGGAGTATTTATTTGGTAAGAAGACAATTTTGCATTTTTTAAATTCTTCTGTTTGGTTTTCTTTTGTGGCCAACACTGGCCCAGTATAAGGCGCCGGGTCACTATGTGCGGTATGGGAGAAGAGCCCTTGTAGGGCGGGCTTCGCGGACCTTGGCAGGCGGTGACATGCGCCATGGACTAAACCCTTGCCTCTGGTTTTAGAAGATAAAACATTGGCCTTTAAAAAGATTGCCAATTACTGATTGCCATGCCATTGATGTCCATTATACAACTATTACTTTGTGTTTGGAAATTGAACAAAGGTCAGGGATTTCTTTTTTGGCTTTCTTGCTAATTTTTTTTTTTATTTTTTCCAAAGTAATTTTTTTCCTTGGTACCCCTTTTTTATTTCTAAAGAATTGCTTGGCCCTTTTATGTTTCAAAGAAACAGTCGCTTGTAGTTCCATATTTCTTGATCTCCATAAGGCACTCACAAAATTCACTTTACTTTTATTCACAGAGAAAGTTGGCTTTGATGTCTCTTAAAGATACCACTGCTAGTTGCTGATCGGCCAGTCAGTTCACCTAGCTTTGATCTTTACAGGACCTCTAAGCTCATTTTCCTACACTGTGACTAATAGGTAGGCAGATTATTGGAATGGATTATGCAGTGTATTCAAATGGATCCCTAAGCATTACTTTGTGTAATAGCTAATATTGAGATCATATACTCTGTAGGCCACTTTTTTAAGAAGCCTCATTTTTGTAATTTTTATTTTTTTAGACCATTTCTCCTTTGTACTTGGCCTCTAAATGTAAAAACCCACACGTCTGAATGGCTAAGCCTGTGGTTATATTTGGATTGTATGCTGCTTTTTGCTGGGGGGTGGGGATGTGTGTGTGTGTGTCTGTGTGTGCGTGCGCGTGCGCCCGTGTCTGTGCATGCACTTTTCTCCTCTAAATAATTGTATATTTCATACTACTTCTTGAATGTTTACTCTCTGATTCTATAAGGGAATATTGGATGGTTTATAAGATGATCTCTAACTGAAAGATAGTGAGTGGATGGTTAAATTAGAGGAATGCTATTTGGGATAGCAAGATTTATGGTTGGAGACTGAAATATATTGATGCCAAATGTGTTTTGGTCAATTACCAGAGACTTCTGTATAAATGCATTTTCTCTTCAAATACTGTACAGTTTGCTTTTGTTGAATGGCAGGTAGTGAGGAGAACATTAAGTGTAGATTAAGACTTTGAAAGGAAATAGTAGCATATCATTAAGAAATTAGAATTCATAGAGTGTTGGGATAAATGGAGAAATAAAATTGTCTGTCTAGAATGTAGCAGCTAGTGTATTTTGAAGCCCTAAATTCACATAAGGAACTGATACTCCTGTCCAAGGCCAGACCAAGCCATCTCCAGGATTCAGAGGAATTACTAGCTCTCATTTCCTGTGGGAATAACTGAAAGCAAATAAAAGTAACAGTCAGGGGAAGCGCATTCCCGTGCACAGTGCAGAAGACAGGCGGACTCTGGCCAGGTGACATGTTGGGGAGGTTTTTCCTTGGCAGGGGCGGGGGGAGGATTCCACTTCATTCACTCCATTGTCTCACCCCGCATTCCTTGAGCAAGTTGAAGGAAGCATCATAGTGTACAATGGCTTCACTTAACACTACAATTTAGACTTTTACGACGTTTGAACACCAGGGCCAGGTCCATCGCCAAGGAAGCGCTGCTCCATGAAGTCTGCTTACACATTTCCAAATTGTTTATCAGTTTTCAATACTCGCCATTGTGTGCAGATGTAAGGGGAGTCGGGCATTCTGTAGAATTACCCATGTCTAGTTTGTAAAGTATGTAGTGTGTGCTGCAGATGTGTGTTCTCTGGGCTCTATGTATCTGTACAGTAGCTTTCATTTAAAAAATGGTGGGCAAACTTGTTTTGGTGGTTTGAAGGGGAGAATGGCAGTTTATGTCAAGTAATGATGCTGTAATATAGTACATGTAACAAAAGATCTGGAAGTAACCCTCCTCTGGCCCATGGAAAATTCTGGTTTCTTCTAGGTTCTAAAATGAAGATGTATGGATACTCTGGCAGACTGCATGTTGTATAATTTGAAAAATACTCAAAGTGGAAAATAAACTTGACTTAAACTTTGGCTGGTCTGTTTTTCTTGCTTGGGTCATCCTAAAAGCACTCTCGTTGAAGGCCCCGATGCCAGTGTTAGTATGAGCTATGTTCTGACCGCAAAGGAATTCATTTCATTGAGCTGGAGCTCAATGCAAAGCATGACTGAAGTCAGCCTGGACCTTTTTGTCCTTTGCTTAGCCTGAATATCTGTGTTTAATGTTCTTCATTGGAAAACAAAAAAACCCCTGGAATTTGTTCCTTGAGCATTCAAAAGGTAGAGACTGATGTAAATAAACGCACTAACTTTTTAAAAAGTAGGATTGAGTTAAAGCTCAGTAGATACCCCAATGTATTAGCTGAGTTTCTTCTGGCCCAAGAAGGGCACTTATTCTAATAAATAGAACACTGTCATTCTTCAACTCATCCACTGGAGCTCTGTATATGTTGAAAGGTTACTGGCATCTTTTGGGAAGGGTTGGGGTATTTGTATTCTCATTTAACCTACTGATTACAAGTATTAATGTGCGGTTCTGAGATCTTGTGACAGGACACTGGAAGCCTTTGGAGACTAGCAAATGGCAGGACACAGGATTATTTGTATCTGCCCTCCGAACAAGGAGACTTCCCTTCCTTGGGTCTCAGAATCCTCGGCCACTCACGGCCTCGTGTGTATGAAACACCGTCACTCTTGTTCTTGGTTTGGTTAATGGTGCCCGACAGCCAGACAGTAAACTGCTTTAATCAATTAAAAATGGGAAGGATGGATGCCAAATTAACATTTTGTAAGTGGAGTTGAGGGTACTGCACATGATGTGCTTTTATGATGTCTTATCCATCTTTATTGAAATAGTTATTTCCCAAAGAACTTGGAAGAGGCTTTTTCCAGGTATCAGATTGTTAAAGGTGACTTATGTAGTAACACTACGAATGGGGTGGATGAATTTTTAGGCTGAAGCCTATTTATTTAAAATGGAAAGGCAGGCCTCCTCTGAAAGGATCCAATTATAAAGCAAATTTCAATCTCGATGGGAAATTACCCCACAGGTCTCAGGGCAGCAGGGCTCTCACTGTCCCTGGGGTTCCCGCGAGTGTTTCTCCTGCCCCGTTGGGCCCTGAATGGCGTTCGGGCCCCGCCTTGGAAGTGCAGGACTGGGGCATCTGTGGGAGAATGTGGAACTGAAGCTATAATCTGCAAAGGCAATTACCGGTGACGTGTGTAATGGCAGGTTTAATTCTAGCAGTTGTGACAGGTTACATCTTGTGATTTGTCTTATGTACATAACAAAATAACAGAAGTAGGAGGAACCTCTCGGGTGACACATCAGACGAAAATGTGGGCTCATTTGACAAAAGGCACCCTGAGCCATGGGATTTTTACTTTCCCTTTGGCATTTGGTGGTTCTTTATACAATTTGCAAAGAAAACACCAATTTCTGTGTAGTTAGTTGGGCTCAAAGTAAGAGAAGATGTGCAGTTCAGCCCAGAGCTTCTGTTTGGGAGCTCCGCCCTGTTCAGCACCCTCC